CTTGCATACTCAGTTTCGGCCTCTTTGCTGCAACAGCCCCAGACTGGTGCCGCGCCCTCACGCTCCCGAGCGGGTCCTATGATCCGCTTGAACGTTCATCTCATTAGGCCTTTTCTGTTTGCACTGAGTCTCTGTTGCACCTTCCAGCTTGGCGCCTGTGCCCCATCTGACCCTACCCGATGATTGGAAGCTTCTCTCGTTCAGGCTTCTCTACCCTCGCCGGCCCGGCGCCCACTGCTGCCCGACTGGAGACACCAGGTCCCGATGCGCAAGTCTGTACCAAGGCACCCCTCGCTGGCAATCGCAAGCGTAGGGCAATCGGTAGAGCGATCAGGCATCCCGATCACACCACTACCCGTCGCGGCCGCAGACGTACACTGGAAATGCTGGGTCACACGATGTCAGGACCAACCTCTCGGCCCGCCCAGCGGAGGCCGTCCCAGCCATCGAGATTGCAAAACCGGCCCACGCCTCAGAGCCATGACCTGGAATGTAGGTGGCCTCTCGCAGGATGCTTGGTTTTTTTTGCTAGGGTTTGTCGCAGGGTTCGGCCTAGCTCTACAAACTTAAACTGCGGCGCAAACAGTGTCCCTGCGGTGTGGTCTGACAAGCTAGGGTAATGCCTTTTAATCATGATGCTCAACCAATACGGTATCGGCTTACCTCTCCTGCGACCCTGTGTCATAATGCGGTGCTTTAGTGCCGAACAGAACACTACATTATGCAGTGGGTCTTCTATGCTATGGCTATACACTTCCACCAACATCTTGTGTTGGGTTGCGTTCAGTAGGTCCCCCGCGCGGCGTGGTCTTCCTGCCTGGTTCCACACCTCCTCGTTCGGTATTCTGGAGTAATAGGCCGCCTTAATACCCATCACCCGCCGTAGAAATCTGTAGTATTGGCCGTTGATTGTTTTCAAGTTTTGGTCTGTAACTGAAAGGGAGTCTAATCCATACAGGAGTGATGGAACCATGGTTGAGTGAAAGAAAAGTAGTTTTCGCTGCCGAGTCATGTTTGAATTCCACACCAGTCTAAGCTTTTTAAAATCCGCCTCTGCAAGTGCTAATCTGTGATGAAAAGCCTCGAAAAAGGGCCTATCCCAGGATATCATCGCGCCTAGATATTTAGCCTTGGGAGTCTTGGGAACCTTCTCTCCAGAGTTAAAATAAAGGTCCCCCCTGAGTTCCGGGCTTTGCGAGGTGTTCGGTTTTGGTTTCGTTCAGGGACATCCCACACCTAGCTGCTTCTCCCTCTAGTGTCGTGAGAAAGCTCTGCAGTTGCGGTGTGGTCAATGAGATAAGAAGCGTGTCGTCCGCGTACTCGAGGTCGTACGTGGGGTGACCCACTGACCAGGTGTTGACTGGTACGCCTGTCTCTAGGAGCTAATTGTCTACATCGTGCATGATAACCGAGAGGACTATAATAAAGAGTATGGGCTGAGTGGGCATCCTTGTCGTATATCCGCCCCCACTTTACGAGTGTACCTGGAATGTGGGTCGGCTATAAAGATAATCCCGAATCTACTCAATGCTGCCAGCATGGCGGTGTGGTCTTGTATAGCTGCAACAGAGTGAGCTCTCTTTCGGAGTCCAACAAACAATACAATTCATTGGTAATACCGTCCGGGCCTGGTGCCTTGTTCTTCTTAAGCTTGGTCAGCGCTAGCTGTAGTTCAGCTATGGTAAAGGGTTTTTCCTCGGGGGACTGTTCGTGTATGTTGGGTCCCATACTGCGTGCTGCTGCCTGAATCTGCGGTGTGGTCAATCTAGAAGCCCATTGTTGATTTTGCAAATGGTCCCTAAAGACTTCGTGCGACCTAGACCGCGGAACAGGTTTACCATCCACTACCAGGTGAGAGCGTTTGCCTACGAAGCCCCTCTTTTGCTGTCTGGCCATGCGCCAAAACGTTTTTGGTTATACCCCCTGGATCTTCTACCAATCTGTCGTGGACCCACCTGATTCTATCTTTGCGTGCAAGTCGTTTTGCCCTATTGCGCAACGACTTAGCGTCGGGTGCACGTAGCCTCAGCTTCTGCCGAATGCGCCTCCTGAAGCGCGGTTAGCGTCGTGTCCGAGATCCATGGTTTTTTTCGGGTGTCTTGCTTGGTATTTGAAGGTGCTTTGGGCTGCTGCTTTAATGGCATCCGTGAAGGCAGTGTGGTTGGCGCCTCTCTGTGGTGGCGGTGTGGTCTGAGGCAGCGTGGTGAAGCTGCGTCCTCCCTCGATCTGTTGGGATGCTTTGCCTTTATCCGCCAGCTTGTCTGCGCGCTCGTTCCCTGTATCCCCTGCATGCCCCTTTACCCAGAAGAGTTTCGCCCGCCCCCTCGGAAACTTCAGAAGCGTTCTGATGTAGTTAATAAGGTCATGGTGTGGTTTTGGGCGCCACTTACCTGTGATGACATTAATTGCCCATTGGCTGTCCGATCTGATGATAACTCGATGATAGGATTGCTCATGTGCGTACAGCAAGGCTTCCGCGATTGCGCTTAGTTCTGCGGTGTTGTTTGATCCTACCCCAGCGCCTATGTATGCGGTGTGGTCTGGATCTGTGATAACAGGACCGCTAGCATCAATCCACTCAAGCTCGCCGTCTTCCCCGGTGCGCTCTGTGCACCAGCCCCATCAGGCTGCCGTACAGCGCCCCCTCGTGCCAGAGCCATCCGTGTAAAACGTACACTCGGCGGTGTTGGTCGTTAGGTTGTTGAGGGTCCGAAGGTGGTTCGGGTCGAAGCCCCAGGTGTTCCTTTAACCTTTGGTTGAACTGGACCTTTTGTTCAGGGGGAAGTCGTATTTTCGAGGCTTAGGCTTCTTGATGTTTTTGGCAGCAAGTTTGACCTGGACTTCTGTTACCAGTGGGTAGTGGTCTGAGGGAAAGCCGGCAAAAAGTTTAGACCTACACGAGTTGACTGTGTGTAACCACTGTGCTCTGACAAAGGTGTGGTCTCATCTCTGAAATCGGATGGGGTCAGGATTCGGCTGGTTCTTGGTGGGGGGGGAGGAGTTCCGGTAAGTCTAAGTAACCGCGAATCAAGGCGGAAATCTCAAGTGAAGAGTTCGGGTCCCTTTTTTGAACCTGTGAATAAAACTGCTGCAGAATAAGAGGATCCATAACGAACTGTTCCCAGGAAGCTGGTGGGGCGGCCTTGTCCCGATATGTGATTTGTTGCGTGGGTATAGGGGTAAGGTACGAAGCTGCTTCAATCATACCTAATGACTGCATGGTTTTCACGCAAGGCTTCTATTTGAGGTGGCGGTGTGGTCGATGTACGGCGGTCCTTTACCATACGTATGCGGTCCCGTGACCCTCGTCGTTCTTGTGAGAGGCCTGAAAGCGGACGTTGAAGGTTCGGGATGTGGTATTCTAGTAAGGTGCTCATCTAGCTGTTCCCAGAAGGGCTGCCTATCCGCTTCGAAGTCTCTCCCGGAGTGAGGTGCGTACGCCCCTACTACGTGTACCGCGCCTCCCTGTTGATTGAAGCTAAGATGAATGACGCGGTTGCTGACCTGAATCACATCCATCAAGTATGGTCTCAGGTGTGGTGCGATGATCGCACCTACCCCTGCATGTTTGTCCCTGTTGTTTCCCGACAAAATCACCAGATGTTCTTCTGAAACGTACGAGTAGTACGACGTGCTCTTGGTCTCCGAAAGCATAAGAACATCCATGCGATGCCTGTCCATAGCCTGCAACGCGGTTTTCAGCTTAAGGGTGTCGGCAAAACGCTGAACATTAAGCGAACCAATGCGAATTGGCAGAATATGGAAGAGGCGGTGTGGTCGGGTAACGTTTGATCCTCTTCTTTCTCTCGTGTCTCTTCTTGGCGGTGTGCTGCCATAGCATAGCTTGTCTAAACCACTTAGCCCTGTTAGGAGTGGCTTTTGTGAGCTGACAAGGAGCTGGTGTGCGGGAGCCCGCCCCGCGCACCAAGCATTGTTTGCACTGCCTTCGCCAGCTGTGATAGAGGGCCCTTCGGACCCTCCTGCGACCGGTGCCCCTTGACTGTGCATGTGGCTCCTTGCTAAGTGGGGTGCACTTCGTCGGCCTGTTCGGCGCCCGGCGTGTCTGGGAGGCGGTGCTCGGTGATTTGTCAGGTTATGAATTCCCTGAATTCTACGAATTCTTTGGTGTGGCGGTGTGGTCTTCCGAACCTTGGAGTGAGAAGACTTGTAAAAATGCTTGAGTCCCGACCCGTCTACCCTAGTTCTGCGCTTTCCTGTTCTGTGTTTTTGGGTGGTGGTCTTGGCGGAGCCTGTAAGAAGCGGTGTGGTCGGAGTAGGGCACAAAGTGGGCAGAATAGTTCGGGATGAGTGATCTACCTGCGTTGGGTCTGGCTTCTAGGAGGAAGGCTCCAGAGTATGTTGGTAGCTTCGGTTTCGGGAGGAGGTCTGCTAACTGGAGTTGAGTTGCGCCTCTAAGCTGGGGCCCCGACCAATAAAGTCGCAAAGGTATGTTGCCAAACATGATGTGTACTTGTTTGCTTCTTTGGGCTTGCAGAACAACCTGAAATTCATGGCAATCGTTACCTAAGAGGGGCGGTGTGGGCCTAGGGTGAAAAGGGGCTTCCGACACAAATCCAACAGGAAAGGTTGGCCGGTAACTGAAATCCTGTGAAAGCTGCCAAAAGATAAGTAGGGCTACCCTAGAAAATTCGAGGGCCTCTGCTGCTCCTGGCCGTCTGGCTAAGAGGGGCGGTGTGGGCTTGGGGGAAGAAGGGCTGTCCGACAGAGTTCCAACAGGAAAAGTTGGCCGGTGACTGAAATCCTGAAAAAGCTTCCAAAAGACATGTAGGGCTACCCTAGAAATTTTAGGGGCCTCTGCGATCCCTGGCCGTCTGGCGACAAACCCTGCCAAAGAGACCTCAGCCGCTCTGCTGGCGGTGTGGTCTAGTGGTACGGCTGCTCTTATGTGCCGGCCCTTAAGAAAGTTTCAAAGGTGGGCCAGGCCACAGCAAAAGAACCTCGAGCTCAGAGAAAATTCTTGGCCAAACCGTGTGAAGCCATCACTTTCCAGATGCTGCCGCGCCCTTGCCACCAAAGGTGGTGTGCGGTGTGGTCTGGTCGTCCGGCTCTGCCATCTCTGCATCTCCAACTGGTGGCGGCACTGCAGGCTTGCCTTGGTAGGTAGAGCACCCAAGGTCACCCGCACACTCCTCTGGCTTCCCAACCTTCTGACAGCACTCGTCCCAACAGAAAGCGATGTGGTCACAGGTAACCACATCCAAGGTGAAGGGATACGGCATGAAGGAGTCGTTGTGGACCATGGTCTGCGACCAATGCTTGCGGCCTTTGCCTTTCTGGATCCCCTTGCCTGTGAGGGCGGTCTGGTCACGGGGGGCCTTGTGTGCCGCTGACTCTGCTCTAGCCAGATCGTACTGGGCCCCCCACATAGTGTCGTTCCAGCATTCTGTCCAGAGGTCCGGGTCGCTGTCCCCCTCGGGGCGCACCATGGTAGAAGGCGAAGCCATAGCATCCTTCATGGGCGGTGTGATCTCAAGACGACCACCAAAACTCCCATCCACTTCGGCGTAAAAGAGCCGTGCCCATGCCACCACGTCGCCATTGAAGCCCCGATCATTGCTTGGCTCCATTAGGGTCAGTGTCTTCCATGGGATTACCAAGCTTTTGCCGGTGTGTTCTGCGTGCTTATTCAGCACGTGGAGCAGGACTCGAATTGGGGCCTCGAGCTTGCGTTGCCATTGGGGTGAACTTGGACTCACCCTAATATGCTTCCCTGTAATAGGTGTGGCCGAATCTGAGTACAAAGGTGTACCCGACGACCGAAGTTCGAAGGCCTTAAAGGTGAGCAGGGTCATCCCAGAGTACCACTCTTTTGCCGTTGGGTACTGTCACTGGCTCAACGGAGAGTGCGTTGAGCCAGCGATTTCCCTCAGAGGCGGTGTGTTCAGTGATGAACCCCCTCGTCTCCAAAAAAGTTCGAACCTTCGGCACCTGCTGTAGCATCCACGTGATCTGGAAGAGGCGGTTTGGTGGAGCCATGCCCTGCGGCCACCCACTCGTGATGATCTGCAGGGCACAGCTGTGCTTCTGCGAGGCCCTGTTCTCCGCGGCCATCCACTCAAACTGCTGCTTCGTCTTGAAGAGATCGTCCCCCACCTTGGCCAGGGCTGTTTCCAGCTGAAGCACCAGATGATACGTCTGAGGCCGTATCACCTTCTCGTGGTAGCTCCTCACCAAGGTCAGAACATCCTTGTTGGCGCGGACTGGTCCTTCCAACCAACGCTGCATTGCACTATCATCTTGAGGCTGCACCCCATACGTTGCTGCCACTACCTGGGCTGCTGCGGTGTGGTCTTGGAGCGACCACGGTTGCAGACTCATCCGGACCATGTTCTTGCGGTGTGGCCAAGGAACTGATAGCCGGCGAGGGAGCACAGCGCTTCACACTAGCACGTTCCTTCCAGTAGATCTCCTGAGCCGCGCGATACGCAGACGTTTGCGTCTTTTGGCGCTGCTCCTGAAAAGCTGCCATGGCAGGGTTCACCCAGTCCGAAGGCGTAGACATGGCTTCCGGTCCTTCAAGGAGCGGTGTGGTCAGCAAAATCCCGACAGAACTAAAACTCTAACCTGCACGTGCTCCGGCACCTGACAGCCGATACGCCTAGGATGCTTGGTTAGAGGTCCAAATATGGCTTCACGAACAGGAGGCCTACGATATTATCTTTCTTCAGGAGACGCACTGGCGTTTCAGCAACTCCTGGTGCTTGCCCCGCTTCCATCTCTTCCACAGCGGAGCCACTGATCACAGGTTTCAGGGATGCATGGTGTTAATTCGTAAGCATCTTGCGTCCTTTGAGTCCATCAGGTGGTCGACACCCCTAGTGGGACACATCATACACCTGAGACTTCCCATCAAGGGACGCGACGTTGATCTCATTAACATCTATCAGTACGCCCTGCACACCGGCCCCAGGGCGGCCGTCTTACACAAGCGGGAACGGGTACTGCACCACCTTGACAAAACGCTGTCATCTCTTCCCATTAGAAATATGCTCTTGTTGGGTGGTGACTTTAACTCCATGGGTACTCGTGACTCTGTAGCTTTCGGCCCAGGTACGTGCCTTGGTAAACATCCCCACCCTGATCGCCAGTTGCTGGCCCTCAACACCTGGAGCCGCGCGTCCCGTGCCTTCAGGCGATAAACCTTTTCACAGTAGATGCGGAATTTTTCGGCCTCCTCCTGAGGGGTGAGAAGGGCACCCTGATCACCGCGTAGCTGTAGCTGTACACGAACCCTAGCCGTTTTAGGCGCAAGTCTCCGAATGACCTGCCAAATCGAGGATTTGTCACCCTGTTGATCAGCTTCCCACGCCTGCTGCAATTGCTCATCCAAGAGTTCGCGTTTTGCCCTACGTCCCGCCCGCCGAAGGCGGCGATGCTGTCTCAGATATGCAGCCTGGTGCCTCCAAGCGGCGATCAACTGTGAAAGGGAAAACCAAAGCCTTTCGCCCGTGTGTTGCCAGTGTCGAACTTGTGCAACCACCGTCATGGGTCTAAGAACCGTGAGCGCACACTGCTGGGCTGTGTGACGCAGATTCCACATGTGTTTAACTGTTCCCGGCACTGTGCCAGCGACCGTGGCTCCCTTAGGGGCCGGTTTAGTCGGAAGAAGATGGACTGCAGCTTGCTGAAGAGCACGATCCAGCTTTTCGGGAGTGATTGGCGGATGTAAGTTGGCTTGCAGTGCGGCGCGAAAAGCCTGAATGCGTTCAGGGGGTTGTGTGAGTTGATAGCGAGGAGCCTGGACTTGACGTGGTTCAGGTGGCTTGGGGGAGGTTTGGTAAGGGACAGCCGGCAACGACACCCCGACCGGATGATGCCGGGCACCTCCACGCCATCGAAGTAGGTGAAAAAGGTGATCCGGCGCAGCCTGCCGAGATAGACCATCCACTTGCGCCACCCGACCTCCTTCCGACACTGAGCAGGTTCTACACACGGACCCTGACGTGACGCTCTCCTCTCCCCCTGTCTCGGTTTTTGAGTCATCCGCCATTGTCAGGTTGGTGCGCCATCTTGCGCCTGCGGTCCTTTTGGGGGAGCCGGATTTGCATGCTGCGCTGATTACTCTACCGGCAAAGAAAGCCACTCCACGCCACCTTGCGCAGTTGTTACTGTGGCATCTTGGCAAGGATGTTGTCATCCCGCATCTCGCTGAGCTGTGTGCTCAACTCTGAGAGCACCCTGGCAGCTTTCACCCCCTCTGGGCGGACGCCTGGATAGCTTGGCCACCCAAACCTGGCAAGCTCCAGATCAGCCTGAAAATCTTCGCCCTCTCTCTCTCACAGAGGGGGAGGCCGTATTGTGGTCAGAGCTCTCACCAACAGGCTTCGCCCTTCCCTCACGGAGGCGACGAAACATTGGCCTCAATATGCTTACATACCTGGACGTAGCATTGAGCACGCCATAGTTAGGGCACTCCACCACTGCAGCCAGGTGCAGCACACTCTCGCCGCGCATCGTCTCACTTTGAAGGAGCGCCGTGACACTGGACGCAAACCCACTGCTTGCCAAGGAGGAGTCACCCTCTCTACCGATACCAGCAAAGCTTTCGATACAGTGGACAGAAGCATCCTTGCTCAGGAACTCAGAGCAGGGGACATCCTTGGCGCACTCCTCTTTCACTCGCCACTCTGGTGGACGGATCCTGGCCCGCAGGCCAGTAGCCGATGTTGCGATGGAGTTGCAGGGTGATGTCGAGCTCTGGCTCCGGTCCCCTGGCGTCGAGTCTTTGGACTCTTATCGATCACCGTAGCCCTACTTCGTGCGCTGGCGGAGGCCAACTCTTTGACTTGGGTTCTACAGGACACTACCATGTTCGCGGACGACCTGTTGCTTCAGTGGGAATTTGCCAGTGTGCAGGATCTGCAATGGTACGCACAATCGCGGGCTGTTTTCACCTTCTTGCCCGACTTGGCCTTCAGGCGCAGCATCGCAAGACTCAGCCCATCGTCGTGCACAAAGGGCGCCAGGCGCGGCACTGGTGGCGGGCACACACACGGCCTCCAGCTCGGAGGGTCGCTTCCTGCTGATCCCCCAGCCTGGAAAAAAGGATCTTAGACTTCCCCTCGTGGATCAACTTACCTATCTCGGTATTGTCTTGTCATAAAAGGACCCTACCACAGCGACGCTTGATCATCGTCTCCGGACTGCTGAAGCTCACAACTATTGGAGGGGCGCAAAAGCGACGAGGAACACGACGGGATGAGGAATACGACGTTCGGTCATTTTGGCACCCGGAAAGTCATACTTGCAAAACTACTTCACCACGGCTCAAAAACCAATCTAAATTAGTCTGTTAGGTATCATCAGGGTTTAGCAAGCAACAGGTATAATAACATTCGTACATATGAAGTACTTCTATCTTCGTACCCCTGTCTTGAAGCCACTTAACAGCATGGGCAAGGAAAGGAAAAAGCAGACACAATCAAAGCTTCTTTCATGTTTCCAGTTTCACCTTGACCAAGTCATACTTTTATTATCTTATTTCGGCACCACATGTTACTTGTGTTTTCATTTGCAGGCCAAACTTCCTTTGAAAAAATCGATAAACATGTTATGTGCACCGCTGCGAAACAAGTCTGCCAGTTTTGGCACTGGAAGAAATCTCTTGAGATACTGTCAGCGCTCAGCTTTGGGTAAGCTGTAAGCATCTGTTGATGCTACCAGCTGGCCCGAGCCGCATTGTACCACGACTTGAAAGCAGAGGGTTTATTTTACTGCTGGTCGAGGACGTTCTCAAAGCGGTTCTGGGTCCTTGGGCACTGGCGGCATGGACTCTTTGGGGGACATGTGCAGGACAAAGCTGAGCTCAGCACCAGGTTCAACCAGTCCAGGTTGATGTCCTCCTCGTTGTCCTTCAGGACTCTTTCTCAAAGCAGTCCTCCAGGAACCATCGCCTTCTTGCTGTCCTTGGGCAACTTCCAGAGCTTCGTCACCCTGCCCTTCACACGGAAGCCGAGGACCACCCCGTTCTCGTTGGCGAGCTCCTCGTTGGCCAACTGCTTGGATTGTGCCGGCTCCAAGGAGAGCAGCTTCTCCATGGCACCGCTGTGAAACATGGCTGCGAGTTTTGGCATCCACGAAGGGTTTAGGGTTTAGGGTTAAGGGTTTAGGGTTTAGGGTTTAGGATATAGGGTTTAGGGTTTAGAGTTTTGATATGTTTAGGTTATGCTTTCAGGACTTCAAAAACATGAACACGGAAAGCCAAACCCTGAAGTCAGAAAAACCTGAACCTGGAATCTGAACCTGAAATTATGAGACAGAGATACTACTGCTCACGGCTTTGCACAGCTCCTTGTTTTCACCTTGCTGGATGCTTGTGCTTTGCAATCGCCACAGACCGACAGGCAATTCAATCGGCTGTGTGTCCTCCTCATTCGGGTCTGTTGCCGCGACTGAGGCTGCAAAGGATTGAACGATATTGTTGATGCCCATGACCGACTCGTGTGTTTCCCTGACCATGTTCTTCAGGTTGCAAATCTTGCGGCTCTGAAATGTCTTTTCCTGCCACAGGGTTCGGTTTTCATCCTGGAGGGCCATTATCGTCTTGTCCTTGTTGGCGACCTCTGCCTCAAGGCTCTGGATCTCTTGACGGGCTTTCTTGAGGGATCTTTCGAGCATCTCTTTTTGCTTCTCACCGTTCACACTTCTCTTGCGATCCTCGTGGACGGCTTTCACTAGGTCAAGGGCCTCGGCACGACTGAGGCTGTAGCTGGCCTCGCGGCTTTCACCTTGCTGCTCGAAGAACTTCCTCATTCCCCTCTTTAGCTTCAGCACTGGATCGGCTTCTCCCTCTGCTGCAGCTGTTGAAGCTTGCCCTGGCAGCTTTTCTGCTGCAGGGCCGTCTTTGGAACCCAAACCATTCGACATGACCACAAGGCCCCAGGCTAAAGTAAAACTACTGCTGCCTGCTGCAAGCCCAAAACTGAATCATGGCAATGAAGGAAAGAGTGACTTGTTATATGTACTGGCCTCATCCTGCCTGCACCTCCAGAAGGCTTAGGCACCACTCAATCATTCAGAGATGAAATGCATGACTCGGAGCTGCAGGCCAACAGCACCTTCAGCTGTTCAGAGCTATAGACTGTGAGCATACTCTAAGACATCCTGCAAGCATGCAACAGTACAATCTACCCTTGCGGTCCAAGCACTAGCGATCTAGTAAAATCTAGTAGCTTCCTTTTCTGCTCATGTGCAGATTCTCTGATGGAGTCCGAGGGGTTGCCCCA